TTATTATTATTATTATTATTATTAATATTATTATTATTATAATTACAATTATAATTATAATATTACAATTATAATTATAATTATAATTATGATTATTACTATAATCAGTACTATAATTTAAGCTTCAAATTCTGTTTTGTTTATCTCTGCACTGTATTATTCTTTATCAGGTTCCACTAATTTCTTGCCAGTTTTTTTGATAAAATGCAAATAAATTATTAGTAATTGTATTCGAAGTTGGTCCACAACATCTTTCTTATGAGCTTAGATAGAATTTTTACTATAACAGACGACACTAACAACTTGTGGCTTAAATATATCAGCAACTGTTTAGCTTAGGTTGATTTATAGTTAGAAATCATGTTATGGGTGTTGCAACATACGTACGTGGATGTTACCTAAGACAGCGAAGAGTAGCTTCAGAGGATATTAATTTTTATTCACAATGCTGAAATTGGCATAATATAAAAGTTGAAACTACCTTAACATTTTTGACGAACATTAAAAGAAGTTTTTGTTGGTTTATATCAGAGGCTTTTATTAGTACTGCTGGGGAAGGATATGATGAGTGCATAGATCAGTCTGTTGACCCATTCAGCTGTAAAAAAGTTGTTGTAACTGTAAGTAGCACACAGCAATAGATTTGGCTTTTGTTTAACATTTGATTGATCAGCTGAATCACTTGGGAATTTTGAAGTTTTGTATTTTTTCCGTTGCTTTATTTTTCGTCAAGAAAAAGTACAAAAAAATTATTTGAGAGAAGAGGAATGAAAGTAGTATTTCTGCGAAAACTGCTGAACTGTTTTTTAATAAAACTTTTTAACAGTTTTCCAGTTGTACATTAAAATTAACACTGGAGATTTCATAAAAAATGAATGCTCAACAAGACACGGGTATTTCGAGCAAATTAAACAGGAAAATTGTTGCTAATCACGAAAGTTGTTTCTAATTATTCAGTAAATACATCTGTTTCAGTCATTATGAAGCAGATATTTTTATCTGCTAAATTTTATCGGTTAAATAATTATTACAACTACTCCAACAGATTTTAATAGATATCACAATTTTATTACGTTTTTTTTCCATCGATTTTATGTTGGCCTTTAAATAAAAAAGAAAAAAGAAAAAGAAGTACAAGCAATTACAGTTTACATATTTTATTGCATTGAATTATTCAGCATTGTATTCTGCTCATCAATATGTGATACTGTAGAAGCAATTTTAAAATTTAAGTTTAAAATTACAAACTGCCATCTGAATGCTTTATCAGTGCTGATGGCGGGTTCGAAGTCGAGCAGTTTAAAAGCGTTTAATGGCGATTTGAATACGATGGGGTTACGGGAGAGCAAAGGTTGAAGGAGAAAAGCAAAGAAATATTTGGAGGGTCGTTGTCATTGAAACTGTGGTGACTGTATGCAGTTGATTGAAACCTTCATAAAACTTCTGGAGAAAAAAGTTCTAACTAAGTCTACAAATATTTTTAAATTTTTGATCTACTCATTTTTTGTTTTATTCCCGCATCAAATCTTTTCTTCTTTTAATTTTCTTCCATTTTCTTTTACATTTCCCACTTTTTTTTAATGGTTTGCTCAATTTTTTTTAGTTCTGAATAAATTAATGCATTTCAGCTGTATAAAAGTTTTTTTTTCTTAAGAAGGGGAGGAAGGGGAGGAAGAAAAGGAAAAAAAATTATATTATTTGAATATTAAGTGGTACGTAACACACAAAAACACTCACACACAAAACAAAACAAAAAAAAAAAGGAAAGTTATGTTGATTGAAAAAAAAAAAGAGAAAGTTACGAACAAAAAAAAAACTGATGAAACTAAAAGTGTATGTAATTATTTTTCTCCAAGAAAAATATGCTATTCAAAGAATTTGCATCAATAAAATTATACTAATTTTTACGAGACTGTTCAACTTTTTTTAAATCTCCTATAACTTTTTTCTATCTCTCTGAAACAATAAAAGTTATTTCTTTTTTCTTCCTCATTTCTATTTTTTTTTTTAATGATTTTCAGAAGTTTCTTTTACATCCACAACAGATCAGTTACAAAATGTAATAGAAGAAATAAAAGAGAAGAGAAGGAAGAAAAGCGTAATTGAAGCAGTTTTTACAGTAATTAACTCTTTATATTTTCATATTTGTAAATCACTTTTCAGCTTACCCTTTATTTTTCTCAATTTTTTTGCGCTTTTTTTCCCTGATTATATCGGGTTAAGGAAAAAAAAAAGGAATTTTTAGGCTTTTCATTTTTCCTTGAATACATAGAAATAAAGAATTTATCAAAAATACAATTTTCAGTACCATTGTTAGCCATATCAGTTAGCCACATATATTTTGTCAAAAAAAAAAAAAAAAAATCCGAACCCATTTGTTACAGTACACTAAGCGTCTGTTCATCGGATCTATCAATTATTCATTTCAGAAGGCTTATCCTCAAAAAGCACAATGTTCCTTTTTGATCTTCTGATACATACAGAGTTCCTGTAACGAACAAAGAGCTGTTGCTGCTGAAGGATATTGCAAGCATTTTGATCAGTCTTTCTACTGTACACAAATTCAAACAGATACTGATACAGATAAATTACAGTCGTACATTGCAAATACATATTTTAATAATTATATGAAAAATTAAGAAGAAATTAAAAAGAAATCAAAAAAAACCAAACAAGACAACCACAGGAAATTATAGAAAATAATTTTCATGCGA